CCCAAATGCTTTCTTTTGTTTCTTGTGGGTTTCTGCAGGGTTGAACTCTCCTACACATATACTTCATCATGGGTGCAAAAAAAGCTCCCTGTTAATTGACTCTCTTTTAGAAGGACATAGTTCTAGAGGTTAGGTGACAACTGGGAAATTGAACTTAGCAAAATTAAAATTTCTTCCACACAGACTCAGCGTGGTATTTTCAATTGCTAGTAGTGATAGCAGTATCAGGGGTAAGGCAGGTATCTCTGTAGGAGAGGTTTGCTCTGAAAGTAGTAAAGTGTTAAGGCGTCTTTTTGAGGAGGTTTTGTCAGAGAAACCTAGAACTTACCTTTGATGTCTCTGAATTTCATGTCTTTCTGTGCAATTCAAACATGCAAAAGAGAAATCACATTTCTTAAGGTCAGGATTCATCAGTGGCGGAATCAGCATGAGGCAAAGGGACAAAGATTCCATAAGCTCTCATTCCAGGACCCTCCATCTAAATTCAGGTAAACTTTTGTTGTCATGAATATCTATGTCAGCCTGATTATCAGACAGAAAGGAGAGGAGTGTTATTATGGGCCTCATGTATGGTGTGTGGGATGGGGTAGGCCAGCCTCAGTTTCCCCACCCCTTCACATGTTTATTTTGACTATTTAAGAGTTGCAGGAATTTTTTTTCAATGCATTAGTTGGACTATACCCCTGTTTTCCCACCATCTTTTCTCTTGTTACCTCTGTTTAGCTCTAGTCACAAAATTGCAGGCTCCCTTAAAATCTCAGCTGAGGTGAGTATTATGATATTTTTGTACATAAAATCTTAAAATACTAGGTATTTTTTTCAGTAATGGGACAAGTTTGGATTCTTTTGAAATTCTTCGATATTAACGTGATCAAAATCAGTGGTGCTTTTGTTTTTCCTTGTCCTTTTCCCTTAACTGCAGTAGTTAATTTATGGATAGGCATTCAATAGAAAATGTTTCAGCCAAAAATACTCTTCTGAGGGTTATATTTTTCAACCTTTTTACTGCAATTACAGTAACACCCAATTAATGACAATCATGCTTTTTGTAGTATGAATTATATTTTCACTTTGCTTTGGTATAATTTGTATGACAAGTTCATTTTCCCTGTTGAGCTCACAATACTTCCACATGAAAAACATGTACTCCTTTTCTCCATTCTAAGTATCTTTTACCCTGTAGGTAGTCATGACAGGGCTGGAATAATCTAAGAAGAATGATTACACTACATATAACTAAAGTTGCCATGCTAACATGCCACTGTTAGCACTGTGACTATTTTTGAAAAAATTCATTTAGAATCTTCCTACAGGGGAAATAGAGAACAGGCTAGTTTTGTCCTTGTCATCACCATCATCATCATCATCATCATCATCAAATGAAATGCATAAATAGCCCAGCAGAATCACATGTGACTTTAAAATTATTTGATTTACTGTGGTCATTCTCATTGATGGCTCTAAGAATAGCCAGGAATTTAGAAACACCAATTTCTGCAAATCTTTGGAAATCATGATTAAATTGACCCTAAACCTTGGTAACCTCTAATTCTAATGGTATATAGACAACATCAGAATTAGAACTAGAGCCAAGGATTCATTTCAGTCCCTATTCTTTGGTGATAAAACTCAATTGATGGGATGTAAAAACAGACACAGAAACACAGCCCATAAGTTGTATATTTCTAGCAATTATGTTCTGTTAAGCCTGCCTAGTTTTGCTTTGTTTTATGTTAACCGATATCAGAAAGGATATTCTACCTGGAAATCTGGATTCCTGACTCCTCTTATAAAATCAGAATCCTCACATTCTCAGGTTTCCATTCCCCTAAGGCAACATGCAGCTTTATAGTGGTGCAGGTGCTCCCAGCGCCCTGAAGTCCCTACCCCTCATTCAAGTACAGCCTACATACTTATACTGCTTGTGTCCTGTATTTTTGCTCTACTGATCGCTACAGGCATTCTATTTGCAACCCTTAAGCAAAAGTACACACTGTGGGTTACTCGGAAAGTGCCTGGTTTGGAAACCCAGGGCCTGGGTAGATGTGACTGTAATGTCTCTGGTTCTGTTTCCTCATCTGTTCCATTGGGCTCAATAAATCTCTTTCAATGGTCTTTTGTGATAGTTGTGGCCTTCAACTGAGACAACTCATGTAAAAACACTTTGAAGTGCTACAAGGGTAAACACACGTTAATCATATCCTTGTACAACAAATAGACATAGTTCATCAACTAAAAGTTTGAGCTCCCTCTGTAGACAGGAAACTATCCTTGATCTGAAGCAGAAATGGTCTGTTTTGTAGACAGCTGGTGTCATGGAAAAAGCCTCACAAGTTAGGCTCTTAGAAGAGCCTCACAAGTAATTGCACCTACGTGAACCTCATGTCCTCATCTATAAAATGTGGAAGACAGAGCCTGCCCTCCGAACTCACAGGTTTGTGGTCAGGATCAAGTGAAATAAAGTATGCAAAATTGATGAATAAACTGTAAGACATTATCTTAATATAGGCAATAATTAGTACTTGGTGATAAAATATGAACACATACAATAAACTAAGAATATTTACAAGCCTAATATTTACATACCTCAAGAGCATGAAGCGTAGTTTTGAATTAAGCCAGAGACAGCTTTTTGGAAGAGGAAATTTTCATTGTGTCTCATTTCTAGCTGTACACCTGAGAATGGACCTATTTTGCTAATTGAAATAAGCTTGCTATTTGTGCTTTATTTCTAATGCACACCTTTGTTGTGAGAGGAGTTGGGTATTTCACATTTTCTTCAGATTTCTTACTCCAATGTCATACAGTATATAAAGTTAAATTCAGAAGAGTGCAAAAAATAACGTGATGGTTTTGTGACTAAGAAATCTCGGAATTAGTTGTCAGAGATGGAAGAAATCTTTGAGGTGATATTTTACAAACCAGAAAGCAGAAGAGCAGAGAGGTTAAGTGACTTGTGCAAGTTCTCGAAGCTATGAAGTTGGAAGGCTAGAGCTTAAAACCAGGGGTTTGGACTCCAGTGTTCTTACTGGAGTAAGAACTCCAGTTCTCCAGAAGTAAGTGTTTCTTACATTGATACTGGGGCAGCTTCTGGCTCCTGGTACTGAATTGAATCACGGGATGTTTAGATAATCAGGTTGGGATGAGAACGTAGGCAGAGGAAAGGAGACGTGTTAATAAAATCGCTGTGAATTAGAAAGTGGGTTTTGGGGTAAACTCCAGCTCCTGTAAAGAAAAAAATGATTTGGCATCCTTCCCCCGTGCATACTGGTAACCCCTTCCCCACCTACCCCTTCCGTCATTCTTTTAAAGCCTGGTTACTACTTTTACATTCTTAGACGTTGTCTTAAACTTCCGCAGGACCCTGGTGTCCCGGGACACTGGTGAGATCCTTTCTCTGATCAGCACGCTAGAGGAGGACAGCTCCTCCAGGAAAATGAAAACTTTCCAAACCCACAATCAGAGCGAGAAAAGAACGCGACCACTGGAACGAAGTGTCTACTGGAGGCCAAGAAGTCACTCCTCCCCCTGCTAATTCCTCCAACCTGTGAAAGCGTGAACTTTCTTAAACCTTTCCCCACAGCCCCAAGGGACCTGTCCTGAGTGTTCGCTGTTAAGAGCTTTAGGGCCTGAACTAGGTCATTCTTCCATGTGTCTGTCGCTGGACTGCCTCTGGAACTCAATTTCTCTCCTCTCCACTAACCTCGTTTCCTTCTTCCCTTCTCGGTTCCGGAGGGCAGAGGCATCCGCGCGTCCCGGGGCTCATCGCCCGCCTGGAATTCCGGCTCGGTGCCCGGGGCCAGGCTTTTTGTCGAGGACCGCGGTGGGGCCCGGTCTCGAGCGCGGGTGCCTGTGCTCTTGCAGTCGGCCAGAGTCCTTGCTGGCTTACGGAGATGGGTGCCATTCGAGGGCCCACCCGACCGTTTGCATCGCGCCTTGCCGCCTGGGAGGGGTCTTCGGAGGCCCGGAGGGAGGCAGAAGGTGGGCCCCACCAGAGTCGGGCTGCTTGGCTTTCTCCTTTCCGGCCGCAGATGGCCTTGGGTCCCGGCTTTCCCGGCAGCCCCCCGCTGCGGCCACCGCCGCCTTCCCCAGGAGCGGCTGCTGGCTGAGGGCGCCGTGGTTGGACTGGAGCTGGCGGCTCAGACGGGACACTCGGGGTGGGGAAGTGGGGGAGGGAGGGTGTGGGAAAGGGGGAGGCCAGCGCTTGGCGGGCACTCGGGGGGCCCAGCGCTGCCCCCTCCAGCAGCAGGAGCAGTATAACAGCATCCACAGCTGCCGCCGCAGCCACAGCAGCCACAGCAGCCACAGCAGCGCGAGCGCGAGGCTCGCAGCGCTGCGCGGCGAGCGCAGCGGGCGCGGC